TAATTTCAATTGTCGTAAGGGACAAAAATGGGAAAATCACTTTATTAGTGTTCTCGTTAGCACATGAGTAAACTATTTCTTTACGCATTACTCAGAAGCTTGTTTACATATTTAACAGCTTTTCCTGGAGGCGTCTACATAAGTACAGATACCACGTACTATTATTAAATATATAGATATCACTGTCAGTCCGAAAAAGATGAGTAAAGTATACATTCAAGTTTTATTCGATAAAATAAGCAACATGAATGATGAAAGGCCGTATTTACATAATGTTGTGCTTAAACTAAACCAATTAGGAGTACCTCTAACTAAGCTTATCTTTTAAGTTTCGTTAATCTTGTTTAAGCCCGTTCGATATTCTTTCAATTTTAGCCGAGAAGCCGTACATTAGATTTTATTATAACTCTATAAAATAAGAAACAGTTCTACTACCTTTTTCAACAACATTTTGGAAATTAATTGCCCTGAAACCTTATTCACAGACAGAAACATTACACAAGAAAGATAAGTATTTTCACCTTTCTCAATAAAATATAAAACTCAAAAATAATGATTTACAAAGTTAGTAAAGGGAGAAGAAAAGAAAATAACCTTACACACAACCTTTTTCTCGGATTTTGTAATATAAACAGCTGAGATAAAACTTTGTAAATTCATAAATCGCAGCACGAAGTTTTATTTGGTCGTGATTATTTTAACGAAGTCTTAGATAGGATGGGGCACAAAGTACACAAAAAATCGTGTTATTTAAAGATTATTTTTTGAGTACCTAGGTAAGGTAGTGTAAACAGTACCTAGGCAAAGCTGGGGAATAAAGAATACGGAAATCTAGGTAGTTGTATGTTAATACATATTCTTTTATTCGAGTAATGCCGACACTTCCCTTGACTATTCGTATTTACTATTTGTAAACTTAACAACAGTCTGTCCTTATCTTGCTTTTTAAGGAATGAAAAGGACAGGCTGATGTCAAATCTACAAATAGCAAACACGAATAGGTTAGTGAAGTGCCGACATAACAAAAATCTGTTCTTCTAAATGAAAAGAACATGATCGGAACGAATGCAGAAATGTTCGAAATAATATTTTGCGGTCGACAAAATGATTTGGAGGCTTATGAATGGGCCATAAAGTACAATTTATATGGAATAACTGCAAATGAATTGTGGCTGTGGTCACCTTTACTGCAATAAAATATTGGAACGTTTGCTCAAGTGATTTTCTGATTTTATACATACTTTGGTATCGCGGTATACACATATATATAGTCTTTAGGCTGTGGTTGCCGCTTACCTTCAAATCATTGTTTGCCAGACCAAGCTTCGAATGTACAACACAGCGATTAGACCGAACTTGATGTACGGCAGGCTTGCCAACCGTACAAGAATTCTCGTACAAATGTACGAGGTACGAGAACACTACACAACACATCTCGTACAACGATGTACGAGATTTTGTCAGATATTTTTTTAAAAAGAGTTTTCATTCATGGTAATTATTATTTTAAGAATTTAACTGCTAGATGTTTGAATGTAAAGGAAAAATTACTGGAAAAACATTTGTTTACAGTCATTACATATGGTTAGTTTACCTGTTGGCCTTTAATATAATTTAATTTACATAAAATTAACAAATAATAAATTTTCTGTAAATTATGCGTGTTGCTTAGACTTTTTTGATGTGTGTATTATTATGAAATGTATAATTAATTCATTCAAAGCTTTTTTTTGCTTAAGTCACTAATAAATGAAATTGGTTCTTATTTATGAAAGAAAATAAGTATTATACACAAATTAAAAATTGTTCAAAATTTGATCTGATGAGTACCTACTTATAATAATAATAATAATAAATACTTCCAACACTCACACCAATTAGCCTAGCCCCAAAGTAAACACTGTAAGGCTTGTGTAATGCGATGCTAGGGTAACGGATAGAATACATATACTGTACATGTATAAGTATATTTATATAGAAATACATATTAAACATCCATGACTGGAGTACAAATGCTCGTATTCATCACACAATCATCTGGCCCCTTTAGGATTCGAACCCGGGACCTCTCGAGTGGGCGACACCTTAAAACCCGGCGTTAGTTTAACATTCCCGAAGTTCTACGTTATGCAGGCTAAGTTATGTTATAGTAGAATACGTAGTCCATTGAAACAATCTGCAGCTGGCCGGGCCCTATTAGCCGATTGGTTCCGATTAGTCGGGTCGGCGGCCAGTCGGCATCTTAGGGTCATTGGTTCGACGCTCACCACTTTAGACACGATTGTAACTAACATAAGAAGTGCCTACATATAACATTTCTTAAGCATTACTCACAGTGGCAACGGCACTTTTGAATGCGTTTTTAAAGTGACACAGTCTAAGAAAAGTTTTTGAAGTGAAACTTCTTTATGCACGCTTGACTTGGGGGTAGAGTACGGTCGGTAAGCTGGCGAATGTGTTACGCGTTACGAAAAGTGTGTTCGGGTAAGGCGAACGGGAGTTGAGTGGAGGATATAAGCAAAAGAAAGTCGTACGCGCGCACATTTTCTTTCTCTCTTTCTCTTATAGCTAGTAAATGAAATATTATGTATATATTATATACGCACGCTCGCACGACCGCACGCACGCACGCACGCACGCACGCACGCAAGCACGCACGCGGGCACGCACGCATTCACACACACACACATACACCCACACACATACATATATATATATATATATATATATATATATATATATATATATATATATATATATATATATATATATATATATATATATATATATACATACAGACAGATGGAGCTAAAGAAGTTTCACTTCAGTTGTGTGGTCATAAGCACACTCATTTTTTTAATTTGTTAATGAGTAAGCTCTTGATCTTCTATCCGGTAGTTAATGTTAATATTTTTTTTATTATTAAGGAGGGTGTAGCGGTTTGAATTAAAATGACCGTCAAGGAAAAATTCTTACGCTATACAGAAGGTTGAAGAAGATAGCTGCCGGGTTATACTATATTGATGTAAACTTAGGCATTCTATGGCACGTCAAATCACAGTAAATTTTATCAAATGGTTATTTTTCTCTAGTATTTAGACTTAAATCAAATTTAACTATGTTTCAAACAATGCGGCTTTTATATGAATTTTGACTTCCCTCTATTTGAGCTGAAAGTACTCCATGCCTATAAAACGAAGTTTATTGGCATCAAAACTAAACAGCGACGATGACACAGTTTTATCCACCTTTTATTAACTATACTTATCTGTTATCTTATGGATGTATATACAACACAGTACAGAGCTTCACTTTAAGGGCTTCAAGATAACTGTGTGTAGCTAATGTACACACGTGATCTGTAACGTGCACTAATTAAAGGATTTAAGAAGATGACAATATCCTGATAAGCCTATTATTTGAATAAATGACAGAATAGTCTCCCCCATTAGGCGCTTTATTATCGGTTGATAATATCGTATGCGCTTTTCCGATAATGCATTCTGCTTCTATTTCGTTATTAATATCGCAGCGGTGTGTAACTTCGTAGCCGACCTAAACTATAATTTATTAAAAAAAAACGAGTGTGCTTATGACCACACGACTGAAGTGAAACTTCTTTAGCTCCATCTGTATGTATGTATAATATACATGTATGTACAAATACATATATCATTTACTAGCTACAAAAGAAAGTGAGAAAGAAAATGTGCGCACGATCTAATTTCTCTTGCTTATATCCCCCCCCACTTAACTCCCGTTCGCCTCGCCCGAACACACTTTTTGTAACGCGTAACGCATTCGCCAGCTTACCCCCCAAGTCAAGCGTGCGTAAATAAGTTTCACTTCAAAAAGCGTGATAAAACAGAACAGAAGTGATAACTTAAACTAATCTAAGCGGCGCTGGTTAGAGTGAGAGGAGGAGCCTGCCTATCGCTACCGTATGCGCGAGATGAAGGGAAGCCAGACAAACTGGCGCCGTAACGCGTTACGTAACAAAGCGGTTTACCTTTCCATAAGAAGTTAAGAGAAGCTCGATGGCGCAAGTGGTTAGCGCGTTCGGCTGCGATTGTTGAACTTAAGCAACTTTCGCAGTGGTCGGTCATTGGATGGGTGACCAAAAATTTACTATCTCGAGCTCCTCCGTGCTTCGGAAGGCACGTTAAGCCGTTGGTCCCGGCTGCATCTGCAGTCGTTAGTACCCACCAATCCGCACTGGGCCCGCGTGGTGGGTCATGGCTCAATCTCCTTATTCCATCCATAAGGAAGGCCTGTGCCCCAGCAGTGGGGACATTAATAGGCTGATGATGATGAAGAAGTTATCACTTCAAACAACATATTTCGCAAAAACGCCTATGGGAGGCGGTTTTATTTCTACCACATTTTTCGCATGAACTCACAGCAGTGGGCTAAGGAATTTCAACTCAGCATTTTTTACTTTAATAATGAAACATTCAGGGGCAGGAGTTCTGTTGAAGAATCCTTTTTTTTTTTCATTAAAATGTTAAGTTCAAGGTTACGTTAGTTATATAAGCGGAGACATCGAAAACAAGATTCAATATCACATTTTATATCTCACATTTAAAATTTAAATTCTAACAGATTGTTATTATGAAACCACACAACAGGTTTTCTGAACTAGAATTTGTTAGGACTATAAACATTCTTCACTCTGATAGAAGTTTAAATATAGAACAAATATTTTCACACAGTATTGAAAAAATAAACAGCAAGCACATTTTATAATTTATGGACATTTCGAAAAACTTTATTTCAAATTAATTTTCTACGTGCACGAATAAATAATGAAAGGTATTTCGTTATTTTATTTTTTTAACTGAAAGTTCTTCTCTTTGTTATGGCAATACTGCGTATTTAACGATGTAGTTAAATAACAACAATAAACGCACTCGAAGAATGTTTGTCAGTGACACCAACGCATCAAAACAATCCAGTGTTTTTAAAAGAAACAAAAACACACTCGCATTCTCTATAACCCATCACCACGAACCTGATTGTTGTATAAAGAAATCCCAACAAGTTGTACCTTTGAATTTGGTCAAATTCTCCTCATACACGTGATCGTGGGTCTCGCCCCCATGATCACCTCTATGGCGCTTAGGCTGATGGGGGCCATCGTAGAAACCGCCATTGACCCCATCCTGCATGGCCTCTTGGGGGTCAAACCCAAGACGCTCCTTGTAATACGCCTGCGTCGACATCTTGTTTCACGCACGGACACTTATCATAACGATATACGAACACACATCGGCCAAAAGGTCGCTGCTTACAGCCGCAAGTTTTTTTTTTCACTGAAGAGTTCTGAACCGCACTCGCGCAGCGATCATGAAAAGATCCGCCAAAACCTTTTCACAAACCGCGCTCCAGGGTCACTTTTTAAATCGATTCACCACTATTTAATTGCACTCGATGTCATCAAGTCTCTGTTCTACAAAAGGAAAGTTGTGGAGAACCCCTTGACACACACTTATTGCTCTTGACACAATTTTTTATGGACTTAATTTATTTACGATTACTCACTTTAATGTCTGGCTGTTTGCCGAGTTTAATTAAAAAAAAAGCTTGTTAATGTTAATATGGCAACTTTATAATAAACGTTAGTTTTAAATTTGGAATGCTTGGGTTACTTTTGTTATTTAAATTCGATTCGTTTAGTTTCGTCACAATGTTCGTATTGGGGTTTTCACGTTAAGTTTCTCTGTCATCTGTGTAAATAGTGAAACGATGGTAGCGCGACCTGTTGAGACAAAGGAAAACGGGGTGATTTACATATTATTTACGAGGTCCAAAGCCACAGTAAATAATGAGTCATGAATTTGTACTTTTGGAGGTGAAGCAATGACTGAATCGTTGGTCATAAGAGCGAGGATTTCGGTAATTTGGTCGATGACCTTGTGCAGGAAAAAAGTTTAATTCAGTTCACATAGCGCGTGTTACGACTTTTTTCTGTCTGGCAAGTTTTGACTTGGTAACTTAATCTTTCATGCGGTTGCTAACACAGAACTTTTGTTATTCACAACATCACAACCTATTCTATCTAAAAATAACATATTTTCGTTATTTATAAAATGGTTTAAGTGGGATTTACAACTACGTTGCTGAATATAAAAAATCCTAAACTTTTTGACGTATAACTGCATAAAATGTTTATATCATTCGATTTTTTTTCTGTCTGGCAAGTTTTGACTTGGTAAGTTAATCTTTCTGCGGTTAGTTACATATAACTTATGTTTCTCACAAATTCACGATCTATTCTATCTAAAAATGGAATAGATTCCCTATTTATAAAATGGTTCAAGTAGGCTTTACTACGTTCGTTGTTTTATAAAAAAAACTAGAATTATTATTACATACTTATGACTACTGAAAATGTTTACAACATTCATATCAACCACCTACCTATTGAACGCACACGTTGTGCTACTGTTTACTAAAGTAATTTACATAATAAATAATGACGTTACAGCTAAATTCTTGAACAGTTATCTTGTCCCTGTGACCTTGTCGTTATAATATAACTAAGTTTAGCTTATTCAAGTTTACGAACTAGTAGGGTGGGACAGCGGCGCCTTTAAGTAGTGTGGTCGGGTGCCACAAATATTTGTCACTTTAATGACTATTGGTGTCTCGTCCAAAACTTTAAGGCAGATACGAAATTAATTAATTGATCCATAATTTAAACTACTTTAATGGAAAATATGTTTATTGTTTAATTTTTAAGCATTTAACTGCTAGATGTTTAAATGTAAAGAATAATTCTATTTTTAATTAATTAATAATTTTATCTAAACAATAATTGCTATTTCTGCTTTGAAATGTTGAATATGTACTTGTAAAGGTATTGATTTGAGATTGTGGGTTACCTACAATGCGAAGAGATGGCGCTCCCTTGCAGCCTAAGCCTAAGTGCGGGTTCGAGTCCCGTCTGCTGCCACTTTAGTCTATTTTTTTTCTAGTAAACTTTTCTTTAGATTTAAATATGTTTATTTTCAAAAGTTTACTTTGCTAAACAATAATTAAGTTAAGCAGGGAATGTGAAAGTCCATATTTTATGGCACCTACGTCGTTTACGAAGACTATTTTATGTCGCTGGCACTAAGATTGCTGCAGAATTTAAATTTAGGCCTAACCCTAAAGCTTTTCTTTAGCCTTTAAATCGAGCTACTTAAAAGTTACAAGGAAAGTAAATTTCCATAAGACCGCAAAATAATTATATTATTATACACAGTATTCTTAAAACATTTGCGTCACTGGCATGACATGACAAATCGTTATTTATTCTAGAATCTATTCATTAGGAATTAGACGAAAATGGTGGAATATATTATAGACATATGCGTTTATTAATTCTATATAGCGCGAATCCAGTAACATGTAAAAAATATTTACATTTTCCATCAATTTCGGTAAAACCCTTATAGTAAACCGGTTATAGTGTATATCGCAAGAGCAGTATTCAAGTCCTTGTTAATTATGTCAAAAACACATCATGAACATAAATATTGGACGAGTAAGTGGTAAATAGTTTCGTTCTAAAATATCGCTATAAATCATAGTTTTCACTATAAAAATTTAATCGAAAAACCATTAATATATTCTTTCAAAATCTGTATACTGCCGCTAATTACAAAGTTTGTTCATAACTCGATATGCGGTAAAAAACCAGTAACCAAAATATGTAATAACTAGCTGTGCCACGCGGTGTTAGCCGCGGTTTATTAGAGATACTTTCCCGTAGTAAAACGTAGCCTATGTGTAAATCAAGGGTGTGAGCCAACTCCATACCAAATTTTATGAAAATCGCTTCAGCCGTCAAGAAGTAACAAACATACACACTCACAAACTTTCGCCTTTATAATATTAGTGTGATAAACTAAAAAGATGAACTAATAAATAATTATAAATCCATACCCATATTGAACAATTAATATACTAGCAACGTGGAGTATTTAAAAATAAAGTTTGTTACAAATGCTTAAATAAAATCTACTCGTTTTCAATATAGGTGCGGTGCCGCGTAAGTCAACAATTTTTCAACGGCGCATTATACCGTCATATTATTATGCCAGAAGCGACTCAACATCACCGCGCTGTGACAAAATAGTGTTAATTGGACACGCAACGGCTCATTATCTTCACACAATAATAAGCTTAGCAACATTTTTTCTCTTTTTTTTTGGATTCTCTTCATAAACACCCGGCGTTTGTTTCAGGAATATATCTTTAGGGCGCCCCAGCTTTGCTATCCTCATTATTTATATAAGAATAACATTAATATTTACATTCTTATTTATATTTTTTATTGTTAAGCATGTAACTGTTGTTTAAATCTAAAGAAAATATATCTAGAAAAAAATCCACACGGACCAGGCACCAGACGGGACTCGAACCCGCACCCTTCGCAATCCGGGCGAATGCACTGACAATTGGTCAGTGCAATGCTACCACGGCCCTGATGGCCGCGTCGAAATTTTTCTAGCCATTTTTAAGCTGTAAGGCAACACCATCTCTTCGCATTATAGGTAACCCACAATGACAAATGAACACTTTTACAAGTATTAAACATTTGAAAGAAGAGATAGCAATTATAGTTACAATTTTTATTTTATAAGCATTTAACTGCTTGATGTTTGAATCTAAAGAATATTAACTAGAAAAAAATCCACGCGGACCAGGCAGCAGACGGGACTCGAACCCGCACCCTTCGCAATCCGGGCGAATGCACTGACCAGAATTTCGACGCGGCCATCAGGGCCGTGGTAGCATAATTTGAACGATATTGAGATTTACATAGATAGTGCGTGTTTTTTTATATGTACTTTTAAAATGGATCGGTAAGTAATTATATAAAAATAGACGAAGGAAACAAAATACGATGAAATAAGAAACGAAAATTTTGCTTCTTTTATTTTAGTATATTTTTTGCTCATTTGCCGATAATTTTCTTATTTTTGTTCATTCTATGAAGGAATAAGGCAATGTTTTTGAATTTTAAAGTACAGTATTAAAAGTTGATAATAATATGCTATTAATTAGCAGATCTTAATTAATTTTCTAGTCAATAAATAATGTTTAACAGTGTAACATGATAATGAGTACAAAAAGGTTATGTTGGAAACGTAGCTTTTATGTTATTTCCATTGAAACAAATAAAACTGGTTTTATAAAAATACCTGGTGTCCTAACCTTGAAGGTTATAAGGTTCGCTGGTCACGTTATCTATGGTAAAATCGTTTAGAACTTAATGAAAGGTGGCGGTAAATCTACTTATATCTTTTTTGCGGGTTTGGCAAAGCACTATCGGTCAGATGAATATATGTATATTTTTAAAACATTTGTTCGCACTTCGTCGCTTTCGCAAAAGGACGGATTCTCATTTCGCCGGATCATCATCAGCCTATTAATGTCCCCACTGCTGGGGCACAGGCCTTCCCTATGGATGGAATAGGGAAAATTGGCTATGACCCACCACGCGAGCCCAGTGCGGATTGGCGGGTGCTAATAATAAATAATAGTGCGGGTAGATGCAGCCGGGACCAGTACGTACAGTAATATGGAGAAATACATATTAATGTGACACATTTATTTTTCCAGTCAACGATTCAAAAGAAATATTTTGAGATTTCTGAAGAAGGCTACCGTTTTTTATAACGCAAGATTAAAACGATTACATTCTGAAATAAAAAAAATACGTCCAAAAAGACGAACAAATTGGAAGAATTGTATTAGAGTGTGTTATGTTATGTTGGATATAATTAGATTATTCCAATGTTTTTTTCAGTATTTCTAAATCTATGGCAGAAAATCATTTTTCTTGTTAACTGTATTCCGGCGGAATGAGAATTTTTTGAGAGTTTTTTGCGAATCCGACCAAGTGCAACCGAATGTTTTAAATAGGTACAAAGTGCGATATACCATTTCATTTTACATTATTCTTGACGTGCATATATATTAAACACTAGCAAAAGTTAATAGAAAACTGCCAAACACCACATATCTTGTTATACTGACGGTAAAATTTTTGTTTAAACACAAACTCCTCGTTTATGGATGTTCTCTTGTCACATTTTTGGCGTCACAAACGGGTTTGTGCCTCTGTAAGACCTAACCAGTTCAAAGTTGTTCACAAAATCATCCAAGGTCGTGCGACCTTCGTAAAAATACTCGGACTGCCCGTGGGAAGCGGGAGACAATGCATGAG